CATGTTACCCGGAACCTTCTTTTTGCCCCCTATGTATTTAAAAAAGGACTTCTTGTTGTCCTTGATCTGGGAAGCTAGTCCCAGTTCCATCTCCGCCTCGGCCTTCCTAACTGCCCCCCTGCATCCCCAAGCAACTGCTGTATAGTCCTCCCTGGTGATGGCCCCTCCCAAAACTGGACGCAGTACTGGAACTGCAGCCTGGCCAGTGCTGCATAGAGGGGAAGTATCACCTCCCTAGACCTGCTCATGATACACCTACTGATGCAAAACAGAGTGCAGTTAGCCTTACTTATTACCTTGTCGCACTGGCGACTCATGTTCATTTTTGCGTTGACCAAGACTCCAAGATCCCTTTCCACTATTATGGTACTCAGAATGGTACTTCCCAGTCTGTAGGTGTATTGGAGATTCTTTCTCCCCAGGTGCAGCACCTTGCACTTATCCTTGTTGAATTGCATCCTATTCTGATCTGCCCACTTCCCCAGTCTGCCTGGATTAGCTCCCTGCCCTCCAGTGTGTTTACTGTACCCCATAGTTTGGTGTCATCTGCAAATTTGGACAGAGTGCTTTCAACCCCCTTATCCAAATCACTGATGAAGATACTGAACAGCACTGGTCCAAGGACAGACCCCTGGGGAACACTACTTCCCACATCTCTCCAGGGAGAAACCACCCCATCCACCACCACTCTCTGGGTGCATCCCATAAGCCAGTTTTTCACCCACCTTACTGTGAAAAAATCCACATCGCAGCTACTCAGTTTGATTGTAAGAATTGGGTGCGACACTTGTCAAAAGCCTTTTTAAAGTCTAAGTAGATGACCTCTATCTCCACCCCTGTATCTAAGCACTTTGTGACCTGGTCATAAAAAGAGACCAGGTTAGTCAGGTCTGCCGGGTATAAACCCATACCGGTTGCCCTTTAATAGTGTATTACCTGCTGGCCCCCCACAAATGTGATCCTTTATGATTTTTTCTAAGATCTTGTCAAGAATAGAGGTGAGGCCAACTGGCCTGTAACTACCTGGGTCTTCCTTCCTCCCCTTTTCGAAAATAGGGACCACACTGACCCTTTTCCAGTCTTCTGGGACCTGTCCTGAGTGCCACAAGTGCTCAAACAGTTGCACCAGTGGTATCGCTATGACACCGACCAATTCCTTTAGTATTCTTGGATGAAGATCGTTGTGGCCCGCCGACTTAAATATGTCCAACCCTTCCAAGTGCCCCCTCACTAGGTCAGCACTAACCGTAGGTGGATTGGTATTTCTCTTATGCCAGACTAAAGTCTAATGGGGAAGAGTGTTTGTATCTGTGTCCAGGAACACAGATGCAAAAAAGTCATTTAAAAGCTCCACTTTATCCAATCTCTTTCACCGCCTACTTTTGCTTATGCAAGCTGGGGGAGTTGACATCCTTGATTAAAAGCAAGGGCATGAAAAGCATTTGAACATGCTTAACTCGGTTCTCTTTTTTTTTTTCTTTTTTTATAGATATTGCATTCCAAGAAGTCTTAGTTTTTTACAGGCTTTTTTTTTTTTTAATATAAGCAAATGTCTTGACTGGCCTAGGAAGGGTTCGAACAGACAGACATAAATATGACTTGGCTTGGAACAGACTTCCCTGAGTAGAGGACAAACTGCTGTATAACTTAACTCCATTATGAAAATCAGTTTATTCCACTTGTCTTTTATATATTTTTCTCATAGCTTTTGCGTAAAGAGAATCTGGATTTGAAACTAACCCCGTACAAAGTACTGGCTACTAGCACAAAACATGGTAAGGTTATTTTTTTTCCCTAAATAATACAATAGCCAGGCATTTTTTGCACCTACCTTCATTCAGTTACTGTCTGCAGCAAGTGTCTTGGTTTGATGTAGGTGGAAGGTACAGTAGACTTTAGATGGTAAAATGGTGATGATTCCCTTTTGGCCTTGCAGTAATCCTGAAACTAGTTCATAAATATTGTGTTGTTATTATTGTTGCTCATTTTCCATCACTTTGCCTGAGCTTCATCAAGTTCTTTTGCATCTCTTAGTTAACAAAACCTTGGTACAGATTACCAAATTATTGTTGCTAGTGAGCTAGATTTACTTCTCTTTCTCTCTCATTTTTGATTATGGTATTTAGCATGTTGAACCTTCTGCTTTTTTTTGTTTTACCTCCTGGGGTGGAATCATAATTCTTCCACCCTCAGACTGGCTTCTGGGCATAGAGCATCCTGCAGTTCAAATTTATTTGTCCAGGAGGTCCAATTGCATTTGCTACGTTCCCTGCAGCAAACTGAATATTGGTGAAAATAGACAGTAGGTATATCAATAAATGGACAACCACATCATATATAGTTCTAAGTTTTTACTACTTTGATGGTTAAAGCATTCTTCTCTTTTTCCTTGCTAATGTTTATCCCCCAACCTCCAATCTTTTTCTAGACAATTATCATGTAAGACATCTTAGTCTCCATTTTGTTAGGCTTGACAAGTACTAAGATCAGTACTTGAAATGTAACAGCCTTTTACATAAAACTTTCTCTTGTTTCACAGTAATGTAAAATCTTGAAAATTCTTTATTCCGTTAAAAATATTTTAGGTTTCCTATTACATGGAAATATCTCGACTTTAAAGAAAGCGTTAAAGTACACCTTTGTATCGCAGTAAGCTGTTATTGGCTAACACTGGTTTGGAGAGCCATTGTGAATTATTGAAATTTAAGTATTAGTAGCTTACAATTCAGGACAAAACTTAAGGGATACTATTATATAAGCACGCTACCTATATATTTGAAAAGTGTAGTTTAATATAGATCTTGAAGGGTAAGAAGAAATTAATTTTGGATTGTGAAAATGAGTTAAATTTTCATGAAAAGGAGATCTTGATATTTGCATTTTAGAATAAAAACCAGAAAGCTTCTGTTATTTCATACTGTTATATGGAGGACTGGTAGAATTTTTTTCATACTGTTATTCTTGTCATGATTCTGAAACAATAAAATAAATGTCAGCATATCTGTGTAGTTTTCTGTAGGAAGTTCAGGTCCCGTTTATAAGCAGCTGTGGGGTCTGGAGTTTGGACTGCAAGACTGAAAGTAAGAAAATGAGGTTTACCTCCAATGTTGCTGCTAAATGGGTAATGTTAAAAAAGCACTTGATTAAATCTTTATGTATGCATAATGTTGCACAGGAGTTTGCTTCTCGAAAGCATCCTCACAGTTGTCATAAGCATGTTAAAAACTTGCGCCAGGTTAGATGTAGAAGCACAGCTTTACCAGTCAAATGAAGCAGGCTGGAAGACTAGAGCAGTGGTGGTTTGTCTGCAGCGTGCTATTTTTCACTTCATACATTCAGCACTGAGGATTCTGCTTTTGTGTTACAGGTTTCATGCAGTTTATTCAGTCAGTCCCTGTTGCAGAAGTTCTTGCAACTGAAGAGAGTATACAGGTAAGTGATATGGCGTGTCTTATCCATTCTTTAATTGCCCAGATGACATAACCAAAAGCTGGTTTTTTTCCAGAATCCTTTTTTCTTTGAAAAACATTCTTATATTCCTTTTTTTTTTTTAAGCCACAAGTTCTTTATTTTTGAAAATAAAGCTCCATACTGAAGATCTTTTGCATGAGTACATTATACTTTTAATTGGCCATGTTAGTTTTAAGGACTTGGAACAAAGGTCAGGTTGTTTTGACACCAGTGTTCTGACATTGCTTTGTTGATGAATGAGTAGTTTTAAATGCCTCATGTTCCATTTAAAATAGATTTTAATTACATCTTAGATCTGCTGCCATTCAGAGTCCTGCAACATCTGTTTTGAATAAATACCAAAACTTTTTGCTGTATAAACTAGGCTTTTGGGGGCATCTTTTCATGCATTGTATTATAGAGCTCTTCTGCTAAAAGTGGATTATACCTCTACAAGGATGCCAATGCAGGGCTGTGATACTAGTTAGTGCAAAATTTCTGTAACCTTCTTTGCATCTGTTATACCAGGGCTGTCCAATTTCCAGGCAGTTAACCAGCCTTGCGGGCCACAGTCCTGGGGGCTGCATGAGTTGTGGTCTGCAGACCAAAGGCCTCTCATCATATGGGCAGCCTCCTCCCCTGAATCCCCCACCACGCACACAGTACAGGCAGCCCAGGTCCACCTCGCCTCCTGGCCATTCGTGCTGTGCAGGCAGCCCACCCCCTAGTACCTCTGAAACAGGCAGTTTGCTGTCTCCTCTCCAAGCTGCATGCACAGCCCACCCCACTCCTCCTGGCCATTTGCCCACCTGCAGTATAGGTAGCCCAGCTCCTTTCTCATGTATAGTGCAAGCAGCCTGGTCCCTCCCCTGCCATGTGTGCCGTTCAGTCATGCCAGCTCCCTCCTGCTGTGCCACCCTGTCCTCAGGAGTGGAGATAGGATGTAGAAGCCGGAGGAGTGCTGGGGAACCATAGTGGGAGCCTGTGGGCCACATGCTAATCCTTTGGGGGCCACCCGGACAGTCCTATGTCATTGTAAAATGGTTGGTAGTGGTAGACATAATGTAAGTGCTGTGTAGCAAAGCTTACATGGAAGTTGCAGCTAAAATGCTACTTTACCAGGCATCTTCCATTATAGCACAAGTTAAAAGTCCTTGAGGGAAGAAAATTCCATCAGCAGTTCTGTGCCACATGTAGTACCTTCTGTCATACTTGGAGTCTATGGTTTTGCACAGTAATTTCTGTGTTTATATGATACTAAAGTTTCCATCTGATCATACACTACCTAAAAATGGTAGGATGAAAATAAAGTATTCATATAAAAATACAGACAATATTATTCTTTGATCACTCAGGTTAGGAAATGACAAAGAGAAAGCTGAGTATGCATCTCTAGCTTTTTCTTGCTACTTATGTATTATATTGTACAACAACATTAAGTTTCAAATAGCATGCCCTATCTAAAGCTTCCGACCTGTACTCTTACCTGGCAAACTTTCTTTTATTTTTATTCTTTTGTTCTAACATACCTTGAACCCATCCGTCTTTGCAACCATGGTATAAATTGTATGAAGGCATTTTTTTAAATGCTGTAGAGTCCCCAAATGAGATGGTAGCCACATTCTGTTTGCACTGAAACTAGAATAATAGTTTGCTTTGAAGATCCTGCAATCTAAATAGAAGAGACAGATGAAAGGGTAGGAGGCAAAATAACATCTCTCCTGAGATCACGTAACAGGTTGACACAATCAAAAAAACCTTAGGTCTCCTGGGCCTTAGTCCAGCGTGTGATCCATTTGATAAACATCTTCTCCTAATAGCCAGTAGCACAGCTGGTATAGGATAGGACAGGACAGTGGTAGAAGTATTTTAGTATTGAACCTTTGCTACTTGACATGCGGCTACTGGAAAATAAACTTAGCTGCACAACTAAACAGTCTATATTGACCAGTTGTTCTCAGCCAGGGTGCTGTGGCATCCTCGGGTGCCTTCAGATCCTTTCAAGAGTGTCATGGGCTGCCATGCAACATTAGTACTGGTAGGTGTGCATGGATAATTCACTAGATAAACCCAAAAATGTAATGTAGGAACCGGTAGTGTTAAAAACAGTCTGACCCATTATATTTCTGAGTTCTTTGCAACAGGAAAAAAAGTTCCATTATGCTTCCATATTCAAACAGTGAGAAAAAACTAAAAGCTGGCATTTTCTGAGTGGTGCTTTGGGTCTAATGTAGAGTGCTGTGAAGGTTGAGGACCACTGGTATAGGCAAATGAACTTCTATTTTTATCCTCGTAGGTTTTACTCACTATGCCTGTTCAGTGTGTGTGCATTCATTCTTATCAGTTCCTAGCATTGTGCACTATAATTTCGATTGGAAGTTGCAGAGAAAGTAATATGCAGGTTGTATTTGAGGAATATTAGATGAAAGAATTCAGCCCTGGGTTGTAATAGATGCATGCCATCAGGAAGAATTAAGCTTCTGTGTGCAAACTTTGTCAGCAGTTTTCGGTGGCCTAATTACACAGCTTTGAAGTTTTCAGTTGGGTTTTAGTGTAAAATTTCCTGGTTTTGTTTTCTTATACGATAAACACAGAGCTTTTCTGCCCTGGGCTTGGATGCAGTTGCCAAGCTTTTAAATTGTGTCTTAGTAGGGTTTGCTTCAGCACGGTCAAGAGATAAGGGCAACAGAAAGTTTCCTCCTAAAATCCTGCAGCATATGAGAGCAGGACTCTTCTTCCATATAGCATTTAAAAATCCTGCCTGGAATCTTTCATTAACACCTTGGATTAGACTCGATTAATCGGCAGATCTCCGGTGCATCACGGGACAAAAAAGTATGTGTAGAAATGCCCTTTAGGCCTTTCACTATTCACAGAGCGTCTCCTCTTACACACAGATCTCCTTTACGTTTAGGGCAATTCAGACAACTATCCAGTTGACTGGCAACTTTGTGATGCACACTTGTACAGCTTTTCTTTATGAGGCCATTTATTGAAAAACTGCTAATTTACCTTCAGTTTGTGAGTTGAACTGTACTAACTTGGTCGGACCAAAATTGGTTTCTTTTGGAATGAGGATAAGAGTCCAGTTCAATGCCAGTTTTCAATGGGAAACCTTATTAATTTCTGTTTTAGTATCACTGAGGCTGTGTTCATATAGCACAGTGCATTGCCACACATAGAGCACTGAGCTACTTGCAAATGAACTTGCTTATTGGGAACAATGTAGCTGTCATAGCCCTGGTAAAGCAACACATTAAAATGTTGTGCTGCTCAGCCAGGCTAATTAACCAAGCTAAAGTGCTAGGTTAATTAATATGACTGCTGCTTTCTAGTACTTGAGCTGGATGGAGTATCTGTGCATGAAGCTGCCTTGTGCTGTATGGACATACCCTTGATTTGTTTGTTTTTGAAGCAATGTTGTAGGGAGAGATGTAATGTTATGTGCATGTTCTCAGATATGTTTTCCAATGACTTGATTAATTTGAACTACTATTGTTGTTTTAATTTTTGCTGGCCTAGCACAAACTATATTTACAGCAGAAGCATTTCACAGTCATGGTAATTAGGCAAGAAGCCTGCAATGCAAATTTAACTTTATGGGATTATTTTAAAGAAAGAAGAGCCCTTCAGTTTGTGACAAAGTGACTCTAAATCCATGTCTTCTGAAGAAAATAAGAAAAGGCTAATAAACATAAACTAAACAGCGCCGTAGCACCGAAGTGGAATTTGCTTGATTTTCCTTTGTTTAATGTTATCTGACAGTTCTGAGAATAACACTTTTAGCATGCAGCGTTGACAGTCTCTAAGTGGTAAGATTAATAACTGAGCAGGATTTTTACAAATAGACTATGGTAATAAGTTTAGCCCACGCTATAAACTACTAACTCTTCCATCAGCCCCGAAAATAGTTGCCAGCTATGTCGAGTAAGCAAGTGTTTTTGATGTATTCTCAGAACTTCTTCAGAAAGCATGCACCAAGTGATACTGGGCCTCATGGAATAAGTGCAGAGGTGATGGATACTTATGTGAAGAGCTGTGGTAAGTTATGGACATTTTCTTAATAGTTTGCTGCATGTACCAAGGACAGAGTGTGATTGTTAGTTCGATGGAGCTTTAGTAGCATTCAGATGAGCGTTATGTAGAAATCATTAAACTGACAACAAGAAAGAACAATGACTATGAGAAGTAAGGGGAATGTACCCATTATGTGGCATTATGATGACACAGATAAACAGTGGATAGCTAATGAGGTGCCTTGCTTTTCCAACCATACCGTTACATCACTTGCTTTCCTACCTCTGAACACGAGTCCAGAACATAAAAATTCTTGCCCTTATCCCATGTTGAAGTAACTTGGGCAAGAATTAAAAATAGATCATTTTCCTTGTCTTCAGCTCCACTGAATATAAACCTAGTTACTTTGAGGTGAAGTTTCTTAATTACAAAATCAAAATGTGGCTTCTCTCTTAGAGGAAGAAAACTGAAAATACTTAAGTGTGTATGAGGAGCTCCTATTTCTGTTGGTGCAGACCCTGGCAATGGAAAAATCCTTCTGGGGAAGAGCATATGGCATAAATGAGATTGCAGCCACCTGTATTAGAGAGGTTCGTGCAGCCCCAGAAGTGATCAGCACTTTCTGATGAGAGTATTGTAATATCTCTCTGTCTTTCCTGCAAGCGATTGGTGAAAATTAAGTGCCCCCTTCTCCCTAGAAACTGTCTTGAAAGACAGTTTCTCCTGTCTCTCCTTTCCTCTAGGGGCCATGATAATGCAGGGAGAGATAAATTACATCCCTTATCGGTGTTAGGCAGAAGGTTAAATTATTAAAGCTGATTTTAAAATCTTTTGCGATTTTTGTTCTTTTTTTTCTACTTTCCTGCCTGACATTAATGAGAATAGACTAATTTGATTTCTGTTTATTTCTAGCACAATGTTAAAGCATTCATATAAATAACAGGTATAGCTTGCAACATTTCCTGTGATATTCAATTGAAAAAAAAAATCATGCATGAATCTGCTTAGACAAAATGTATATTTTGGTTCAAAATTAACCTGGCAGTGTGACTCCAGTGCTTTCTCCACAAATGTTAGTGGAACACCCTTTGGAAGGCTGTGTTGGACCCTACTAGCTATGGGTAATGCCATTACTATGCACATTGTTAGTGACCTCTGGGGACACAGGCCATGCACAGGTGTTAATTTGTACCAGGAGAATCACTGCTCTCCCAGTAGTAATTGCTGTACTGTAGGCATTCGTTGAGTTCCTTGTGGAAGAAGTATGACCCATCCATAAGAGCAGTCTTCCAGGTTGACAGATGGAAGATCTCCCTTGCAAGAAATGTTCTCTTACTACTATGAATGCAGTATGCTCAAGTGCTGTGTGATTGGGAGGAGTTAAGCTATAGCTTTCCTTGTGCCTTTCCCACACTGAGGGACTCCAGTGCGGGGAAAATGGGGAAAGGACATTTCCCCACTGCTGGCTTCTCCCAATCAGAGAAGGGATTCTGCCTCTGCCTCCCCCTCACCCCCTTCAGGCCTTCCCAAGACTGGAGGGACCCCAGTTTAGGGAAGGCTCAGAGAGCAGTGGCAACTAGACTCCTCTCCAGCTTCCCCCACACCCTTCCCCTGAGTTGGGGGGAAAGGGTGTGTTGTCAGGATGGAGTGGGAAGATTTCTATTTTTTTTTTTTTTAATTTTCAGCAGTAGAAATGAATGCCTCTCTATAGCCGTAGTTGCAATGTAATTGCCACCACTAAAATCGATTCTTAGTTCCCACATATTTCTTGCACAAAAGTCCTATATGCGGTACTTGAAACACGCTTTGTAAACAAGCAAGCATTTTCTGAATGTCTGTGAATTTTTTGTTTGTTCCTTTCTTAGTCCTATATAAGTTAAAGTAATACTATACTGATTGAATGTTGGAAAAATGGAGTGTCTCATAACTTAAATGATAGTCCTGTATCTATCCAGCATTATATAAATAGGTATGGTGTATGTACACATATAACCTACAGTCATGATATATGAGTGAAATACTAAGAAGTATTTATTAGTGGCATATCTTTGTATTTCATATTCTGTTAATGTCACTCTAATTTTATTCCAAAAATGTTTCCTTATATCCCAACATGATCTTTATCTGCTCTACCACAGTCCTTGTGATATCAGTAATAATGTATCAACATGCATATGAGTACCAGTAGTATGAAACACGATGACTTCTAGAAGTTGAAATATTTCTGTTTTATAATTTACTTGTTGTTGCAGCTGGTTATTGTGTGATTACCTATATCCTTGGAGTTGGAGACAGACATCTGGATAATCTTTTGCTAACAAAAACAGGTAATATATTTTAAATCAACTACTTCAGTGCTGTTTGCAAATACATCTTGGCAACATTTTACTGCATTTTACCTTACAGCCATAATGTTTGATAAACCTGTTCTATATTAAATCACATTCCTGTTTATGGAGACATCATAACATCTAAGGTCATACTTGATTTAGCAAGGTAAGCTTTAGGTTGAAAGTACATACATAATGGAGTGTGTTAGAGCTGGTATACAAGTGCAGATGGCAGCATGCTTATTTTTGTACTATCTCCCTGTTTTATTTCCTTGTATCATGCCTTTTTTTCTGAATACTGAGGGGGGAAAAAAATTGCAGTTTTAAAAACAGGTTGCACAATTGATTTTTTTCCCCCCTCAGTAGACATATGTATAAATAATGAGAACAATAATAAAATGCTTGTTCTCTGAAAATAGTGGACTAGGTTTTAGTTGATTACAAAATGTTCCGTGTTGACTGAAATGCGCCTTGTTCGGGAAACATTGCATTAATAGACTAAAATGAAATTGAACTGCTTTTTTCTAACCGCTTTTCTAATTTTTTTTTATCCTAAAGTCAAGAAATATGGCGCACATAACTTAAAACAATGTCTGTAAGCACGCATTCTGTTTTCAAGCTTGAACTGAGGAAGCCGAAAAACAATGGTACAATTAATTGGGTAATTAGAAAGTAATGCCAGTTCAAAAAAATCCTAATCGGTTTTATAAAACAATTTAATTTTTCATTAGATTGTTATTGGTGCTTCATAGGGTTCTTTAACACCCAATCTCAAAGCAATTTCAAGATCGATTAATTGCATGTGTCTGTTGTAAGAAGACTTTATGCAGACAGATTTGGCATCTATTACATGCTCAACTGAATTCCAAATACAGTAGAAGTTTAAACACTTATTAGCACTAGTTATATTGATAGTAGATGCATCTTGGTACAGTAATCAAAATTATTCTGGTTAGTCCTTGCAGCTCTAATGCTTACTCTTTGACCAGAAGCACTCGTGTGTCTTTCCATAATTATAGATCTTGCAGGAGTGGAGTAGTGTAGTGCATCACAGTGTGTTAAATTAATGGCAAATCACAGGGTTAAGCATCCCGAAACCAGGGGATCAGATATCATAACATCCAGATAAGTTCGTTTGAGATGGACAAAGGTTGAAAGCATGAGCAACTCGTATTTGAAAACAATATTTAAAGTTAAATCAAATGTGTATGTACAAGCCTGTGTATCATTTAACAGTAGAGCTATCATGTTCATCCCTACTCTTCTTGCTCTCTTGCTTCATCCTAGTATAAAATTAATTTGCTGCATTTTGTCTTGATTTCCTGGGTCAGGTATAGGCACAGTCTCACTTTTATTCTGTTGTGTTAAAAACTTTTTTTATGTTGGACACTAATTCCAGAAATGAAAAATAAATGGGAAGCCAGGTCTCTGTCTTACTGGATGGACATTAACCACCAAGGTACAGTCAGACTTCTTCTAGCACTCTTCGGCCCAGTGAGCATTACTTTTTCTGTATCCTGGCAGTTTAGGCTGTACGGGTAGAAGCTGACTTGAACCTTGATTAGGTTTTAGCCTGCTAACTAGGGCACTCCTGTGAGTGGTGAGAGATGTGGATTTCAATCCCCTTAGGCCAGGGCTTCGCACTGAACAGTGCATGGGCTGGATCTAGCTCACAGAGCCATTGGATCCATCCAATTGTCTTGTGGCATCACCAGTGGTTGCAGAGGGGGGACTTAGGCTACAGGCACTCTTTCTGTGTCCCTGCAGAAAGCACTGCTGCCAGCAATCCTAGTGCCTACCTGCCTCTGACCCCAGGTGGATCATCGTGGCCTGCAGCTGGGAAAGATTGCCCACCCTCTGTCTTGGGCAGAATTGATCCTGGGTCTTCCACATCCTAGAGGAGTCCTCCAGCCACTAATTTATTACCTGAGACAAAGACACGATCTCCTCCCTAGCAAAGTAGTAGTCACTGCTGCATTTTTGTAGGGAGCCCGAATCTTCTCAGCGTGCTTTAAGCATTCTTGGAGCACGCCTACCAGATTGAACCTCCTGAGGGGTCTCGGGTGGAGGAACATTGAATTTTTGCATTTTGTTTGGGCTTATATATGAAATGCAGGCTGATTTGCTCCATCCTGTCAGAACTCAAGTACTTCTGTCCATACACAGATAAAAAATTAATACTTTCAGGAGCCTAGGCATCTCAAGGGTAAAATCTGTGGCACATCTTGACAGAGGTAAATTGCAGCTGTCCACTTATCTTGATGATGTCTACTGAAGTTCCAGGTCAGAAGTTTACATCCTTTTTTGGATCTTGCCCTAAGGTATGTATTTTAGGGACCTAACTGCTTGCAGTCACTTCTGAAACTATTAGCTTGGTCTGTAAGGTGCCCCCTGCCCTGACTTCTCCGGCTAACACAGCTAGCTGCCTCTCATTTGCTTCTCTGTTGCTGTCCGTATATTACAGGGATCACATACACTGACTTCCTAATGCATAAGGAGTTCTAATAAATATAGGAAATGAAGTAAAGAGAATTAAAGACAATCAGTCAACGAGATAGAAACAAAGCTTTGGAGCATTTGTCTCCCAACCTTACACACACCATCCTGAGAAGTGAAGCCTGCCTGCAGTTGTAACTTGCCTCTGCACGCTAGCCTTCCTTAGCTACTGATTTTATAAACTTGGCAGGTGTCTGAGCTTGCTTGTCTACATATCTTCAGAATAATTGCTCAAGGATTCATAACAAAAAAAAGTGGGGGGATCAAAATTATTTCTCTAGAACATGGAAAAAAACATTACACTTAATTCCATAACTCCTGCAAAGCTGACTATTGCAAGGGAATGTGTTTTCCTTATAGTCAAACAGTGACAATTTTTTTCTTGTTTAAGCTATAAATAAGCTAGCTTGAATCTAAAAACAAATGTTATTTGAACACGAAAGGCAGCAGCTTTCTAAACTGAGAAGAGTAGAAAATGATGTAAATATAGCGTTGTGCAACCTTAACTGGTAGTGACCGGTGATAGTGCACCATTCTGACATATCCATCAAAGTTCTGAATTTTGAAAGTGCTATATGTTGTCTTTGTAAATTGAGTAAAAACTTTGAATTGCAGAGATTAGCTAGAATCTTTCTATGTCTCATTTGTGCGCAAAAAAAACCAACCCAACATTTTAACTTTTAGTTTTCTAATGATATCTTTTTTGGTCCAGTTATCTGCTTAAATTCATCTAATAGAATTTAGTAGGAATGTGAAGAATGAGTGTGACTGTCACAACCACATGTATCAGCTGATTTGTAGGCCCTCAGACAGGTTGCTTCCCATTGGAGTAAAAGGATTTCAGTAGTAAACTAGTTTTACTACTACACACATTCCAACTCATGGGAGTGAACATTTGGGTCAAGGCTGCTGATTTTTGAAGTTCCAGATAACCTCAGCTAATAAAGTACAATTAATGCAGATGCCAAATCACAATATACTTTCAAACATATATTATTTGAAATAGGTAAATCCTGTTGCAGCAAACTTTTTTTTTTTGTCTGCCTCCTTAATTTTGACATGTAGAGAGACAAGAAGTCTATTAACGCTGGTAAGGTTATTGTGATACTTCTAGTTTGTCTTTAAATAAGACTTTTAACTGAAACCCCCCACAAACTTTAAATGTCTGAAGAGATGCCTAAAAGAATGTGTAAACTCTTTTTCTGGCCAGTGGTGCACTTAAGCATAATGCAGGCTATGACTGGTGTCTGGAATGGGTCCCTGGCTCAAAGCTTGCTTAGCGTGGATGCAGCTGAAGCTCTACTAGCTGGGCTGTTTTGCAGCTGAGCTTGAGAGAGCTTCTTATTTGCAGGTTTGTCTTTTACCTAAGCATTTGAGCTAGTTTTATCTATAGCTGTTTGGATCCCAGAGCTTTTATATTCAGTTTAAATTGTATAAATTTGAAAATAAAATGAGTATTTGAAAGAGAGTGTAAGGCTTTATGTGCTTACTGCAACCTTTAATTCATTCTTGTGTTTAGACTTTTGTCACATCTCCATTTGCTTTAAACTTTCGTAACACAAACAGCGCAGGGAAGTAGCATATGAAAAATTCTGTAGAAAATAAAGGAAGTGGAGGTGCTAATGCTGAAATCGGGAGAGTAAGTGGACAGGACTGCTTTTAGATGTTATGTTTATTCCCACTGTAAGCTTTGTATGAAGGTTTGCTTTCAAAAAAGCCTGCTGTCTTAAAGTGGATCACTTCCTCTTGCATAGGATGACAACTGTAAGCAGGGTTTTGTGGTTGTAAGATATCTACTGTCTATTAGTTTTTGTATACTCAGTCACAGGAAAGAGATATGTAACTAGGTTGGTAGGTAATACTAAATTTTACTTATGCTTTGTCCAGTGTTTTTCATAAGATGTGCAGCAGAGGGCAGTGCATATCCATGTTACATTTTCATCTAATATTCTTGTCACTTTTGTCTGTATCTCATCAAGTAGTAGCAGTGTGGTTTTAAGTGTACCTTTTCCTTAACAGTTTCTTGACCAGTGAGAAAACCTCTTAAATCCCAAATCCTACAGATTTGCTAGGAGGAGCTATGCTTTCTGCCGGTGTAGGAGTCCCATTGAGTTAAGTGTTTAAAGACTAGAGTTTGCCTTTTCTCTCCAGATGGTAAACTTAGCACATATTTTGCCTAACAGTATAATGTGTATAGCCATAAAAGTCCCCTAAGATTCACTTAAAACAGTTCAAATGCTCCTTGGCAATAAGTGCCAAAAATAAGGCAGTACTTGATTTAACTGACTTCCATTGCTTATCTCCTTCCCAGGAACAACTTTGGCTTTCTTTTTATAGGCTACAGCTCTTAGATAGCTCTTGCCTGCTGTAACTGTCTACTGTAACTGTCTTAACTTTTTGAAAATTTTCCCCAGAGTTTAAAAGATATACTGGCATCTATAGTCATTTATAATACGCCATATAAATACATAAATAAAAGACAAGTTTTCAGATTGTTTTAA